TTAAACATTGGAAGAGGCTGCCCAGGGGAGTGGTTGAGTCCCCATCCCTGGAGGTATTTAAAAGACGTGTAGATGAGGCGCTTGGGGACATGGTTTAGTGGGCATGGTGGTGTTGGGTCGACGGTTGGACTTGATGATCTTAGAGGTCTTTTCCAACCTTAATGATTCTATGATTCTATAATACTGGGGTAAAAACAATACAAAATATGCTACACTGCAACTTCAAAAATTTAAAATTTAAACTTATTTTTCCAGTTGTGAAACTGAGGAAAAATTTTATTCTGTTAAAATGTAGCTTGGTAGAAAATTTGAATCTATAGTTAGACTACAGTGAATTATGTTGTTATAATCTAAGTGTAAATGAAAAATCTCAGTACAATATCTGTTGTATTAAATAGTCATTATATTCTGTTTTTACAGTGTTGTTCATGTACTTCACAAGTATATCTACTGCTCAGACTACTGACTGTCTGCACTTGAGGGAGCAATGTATAAATGATGCAAATGGATGTAAGAGTGTCTGGAATGTTGTTGAAGATGTCTGCAATATTTCAGGTAATTCTTTATGGTGTACACAGGTTTATTTTGAATTGCTGAATGGTTGCATATTCATAGTTTATCATAATATTGCTGTGGTAACTGAATGAAGTCAATGAGATTTCAAAGAAAAAATGACGGCAGAAGACAGTCAACTTCTGAAATCCTTTACAGTAGCCAATACTATTTTTAGTAACAGTCACACTGTCACTTCAATAAGGTGATAAATGAAATTTCTGGACCATGAACAAAGTCAGAGTCTGAACCAACTCAAGAAGTCTGAATTCAGCAGAAATTATGCTCTTGTGGGATCCTGTTAAACAAAGCCAACATGCAGCTGGGAAAAAGTTTCAACCTTGTTTTCCATAATTTGGAGGAGTTGATCTGCCCCTCCCTGGAAGTGTTCAAGGCCAGGTTAGATGAGGCTTTGAGCAACCTGATCTACTGGAAGGTGTCCCTGCCTATGGCAAGGGGGTTGGGACTAGATGATCTTTAAGGTTCCTTCCAACCCAAACCATTCTATGATTCTGTGATCTATGATCTCACACGACACCTACAACAATGTAGTGGTTAGAGTAAGTTTCAAATATTGTATTAGAATAAGAAACAAATCAAATAAAGCATGCTTCAATGAAAGTTGTGTTGTAGGGAGGCACATTGTATTTATTTAGTGAATAGTACCTACACGTCAGAGTGATTCACTTGCAGGGAGTGATGGTATGATAAAGTGGAGGTTACAATGTGACTAAGCCTCCTTGAACTGTTAAACAGATTCTCACATAAATGAAAGCAGAAAATCGGTCTCTGTCTCTATTGCACTTCCAACGCTTGGTGCATCATTCCCAAGCAAAGTATGTTTTAAGTGGGGGAAGACCAGGTATTACAAGTTTGATCTGAAACTCATCCTAATCTCTGTTGTCATTCAGACGAAAACGTCCCTTTCTCCGAAGGCCTATTATCTTCTTGAACAAATCTTGGGTATCAGTCACCATGTCTCTCTTACTTTAAATCCCTCCAAGACCTTGCTGTTAAATGTTGAATATTCACTTGCCAGGTGCTGTGAATATGGAAGGGAGAAGAAGCGTGACAGTACAGTGGGGTACTGTCATTAGACCAAGCTAGTAATGACACTTTTGTTGACTGATAAATGTCAAGGGCCTTGATCTGCCAAGGCTACATCAATACTAGCAAATAAAATGGGCCAGGGACTATTTTCTGGCCCTGAGTTCAACTGTCATGGGGCAGCATGTATCCATACAACTAAACTGTCTTACGCCCATGCTGGCTGCACAAAACTACCTGTTGAGAGTGACTCCAGCCCCACGCTATCTTCACAGTCTAGATGGCTCGGTCCGGAGCAGGTACCATGCAAAAGTGCAGCAGTATAGACAGTAACTTGCCATTAGCCTAGCCCATGCCTTGGTCCTGTTCATAAATGCAGCCAAGGGTATTTAGGTACGTAACTGCCATTTCTAGCAAGTTAATTCCATAAGGCAGGTTCTCTGTCACTGGGAATCAGAGGTCTCTATATCTCCATGGAAACCTCCCTTCTCCTATATTGACATTATTTGAACAAAACCAGCCATGTCCTGATGCCATAATGTGTTCTGAGCCTCAGCTGCAGCAGAGTTGATAAAATGAATGTCCCTCTGCCTGCCTTGATGTCAGGACCCAGCCTCACGTTTGGTCTGTGTGGGAAGCCAGGCAGCAGGAGATGCTGCCTGACTTCATGGTCAATAGCCCATTGCTAGAACATTCACCTGCAGTGTGAGCTACCTGAATGCCTCTGTCTGTCTGATTTGTTGCAGAGATTTGAACCCAAGTGTCCCAAATCACAAGGCAGTATTCAGAATAATTAGAGCAGAAAATTCTCTGAGGGGTCCTTCTTAGTGTGTCCTGTTCCAGATACGTACCTGCTTTGCATAGAATGGCTGAATACTTTTAAGAACAGAGTAAATGAAAAATACATGATAACCTAATGGTTACAACAGTCCCCAAAGGAACTGGGTTTCAGCTCATGTTCTATTGAGTTTTTAAATATTTTGTGTGAAGTGGAACAGTTTCAAAATATATGGCTGCTGTTTGAAAAAAAATTATTGGAATATGCAGTATTTTCAGGCTCAAGACAGTGACCTAAAGTTGAGTTCCCTAGAACCAAACCTCTTTCCAAAATCAGAAGTAGTTGAATTTGCTTCTCTCACATCATTCACAAAGGTGTTAGCACCAAGACTACTTGCCATAAAGATCAGGATTTGTACTGTAGCCTGTTCTTCATCATACCCTACAACCAGAGTAAGTGGGCCAGCATGATGACTTCTGTGGTCTGCCCTTTGGATTTGTTGCATTGGCCCATAATATGCCATTTCCCTCACTTACTGTCATATGTGCTTATTCACTCATATTAATGGCTTGTAACTGGGTCAGAAAAACCTTCTGCAAATAAACTCTTCTTGTGATTGCTTGTTTGTTTTTGCATCTGTATATTTCCTGAGGATAATAGCCTTTGGCAAGGACTCTCCAGCATTGCAGGGCACTCAGATACTGCATTTGGTCTAGGACAAATTATTCTAAATGTGGTTATTATGTGCCATGACCCCAGAGGGTGTAAATCCACAGTCAGAAAGCTGATGGTATCTCTCAGAGAGCCCACAGAAACAGCGACAGAAAATCTACTAGCAACATTATTAGTAAGAATAACATTATACTATCTGTCAAAAGTACTCTACACGTGCAAGACTAAAAACTTCATGAATGAGCTGTATGAATGGAAATAACCCTTCAGTTCTGAGCAGGAGCATGTTAGTTGGAGGCAACAGGTGATGGGGCAAATATGCTTTTTGCTAATTTCTTTATGAAAAACCTAACTACAAATGATAATTATACTCCTACTCTGAGTTCAATAACTCAGTACCTCAGGCTGTAACCTCTGAGCTAAATGTGTGCATTATCAGGACCTCTGCCTTTTGTTCTTCAGAGCAGGTATGGGGGTACTCTTCAGATGACTGCCTAAGTCACTCCTTTCTCTGTCAAACTGTCCATCACTGCTCCCCTACTACTGCAGCAGCATTTTCAGAGTCTCAGTTCATAGCCCTCTGAGTCCAATCCTTCTTTCACTTCCTTTTCTGTGCCAAGATACATTGAAAAAAAAGGGGGTGAAAATGTCTGAGTCACCTTCCAGATCAGGATGGAAAAGACTGAAATATTTAATTTTGATGGAATCAAAAGTTTTCACTTTGAAAATGTCAGAAATATTTCATCACTGCAAAATGAAGATTTTAAGATTTGGATTTTGCTGGGTTTTTCTTATTTTAGTTCACTGATTAAAAAAAATAGAAATTTCTGAGGTCTGATTTAACCATGAGTATACATTTTCTTAATTTTTCAGAACTGGAAACATCTGGGTTCAAAAGAAAAAAAAAACAATCTCAGATTGCTCAAATATTAAAGAATCACATTTTGAATTAGTTTTGGAAGTAGAGTTTATTTTTCTTTGAGAAACAGGATCTTTGAGGTTGGAAGGGATCTCTGGAGATCTAGGCCACTCCCCCCCTGCTCAGGCAGGGTCAACTGCAGGCTGTCTTCCAGGACTTGGATTTTTAATGTCTCCAGTGATGGAGGCACCAAAACCCCTCTGAGCAACCTCTTCTACTGTTAGACCACCCTCGTATTAAAAAAGTTTTTTCTGACCTTTAAATGGAATTTCTTTACTTCAGTTTGTACCTGTTGTCCTGTCACTGGATACCACTGAGGAGTCTGTCCCTGCCTTATTCACCACCCTCCCGTCAGGTATTTATACACACAGATATCTGTATTGGTACGCCCCTGAGCCTTCTCTCCTCCAGGCTGAGCAATCCCAGCTCTCTCAGCCTCTCCTCATAGGACAGATGCTCCAATCCATTAATCATATTTGTAGCACTTTGCAGGAGCCACTCCAGTATGCCCATCTCCCTCTTGTCCTCAGGAGCTCAGCACTGGACACAGCACTCCAGATGTGGTCTCACCAGTGTTAGAGAGGAAAACCCAGTACTTTCCTCTGCAGTCTTCAGATGTAATTCCCACTGAGATGACTGAAGAGCTGACTGCACAAGAACAGAGATTATCACCCTGGAAGTGTCAGCTTCTGCACTGTCATGCTTCTATCTGTGGTCCCATGTACATAAATTATGTACATATAAATAAATCAAATTATGAATAATGGCTGCCAAGCATTAGGTCAGAGAGCATTTTTCATAAATGCCTTGGAAGCATATGTATAAGCTAAAATATATTACCTAGAACTAATCAATGGTAAAGCAACAATAATTGAAAACCAGCAATAAAATATTTTCTGCTGTTCATCACAGCTGAATCAACACAGTGTACAAACAGACCAATAGTGATAATAGATTATTTCTACACAGCTTTCAAGAGTCCAGGCAAGGGAACCCCATAAATCTGATGTGCTTCCTGATTCTGTCTATGCCCTTTCTATGTTCATAGCCCCACAACCTACCTCTCACTCCCTGGTTGTCAGCTGCTGTGATTCAGTGCAGTGCGTTCACTGTGCACAGGGCCACCCTAAACAGACCCCCCTGTACCTGACTCCTAACCACAACTTGTTAGTGTCATGAAGACAGTTGAGCTAAGTGAGGCTGGGGCACTACATAAAATATACTGGGATTTGTGTTTCCTATTCTCCTACCTCTGCTCACCTCCACCCTTGAAATGTCCTCAGGACCTTGAACAAGACAGTCATACATTTTGTAAATTAGCTAATTTTTACACAAGTCCCTCCTGATCTTTGTTGCTCTTTTTCTACCCCTGGAATTTGTCCTCATGAAATTGTCTTCTGAAATTCTTTTATTATCCCTTACTCACTTGATAAAATATAGAGTAGAATATCCACCTACCCATCTCCATAGGCCTCCATAGTTCCCATGTCACCACATACTTTCCACCCTACCTTTATGGTCAGGGAGCGTCTTATGTCTATGACCTTCAGTACATCTCCTGAGCTCCTTGGCTACTGGAAAAAGAAA